TTGGAGGGCATGAGGGAGGCGGGTGGGCAGACAGACAGCATGGCGCCAGGCAAACAGCACAAGGCAGCAAAGCAAATAGGCTGGAGGGTATGGGGGAGGCAGGTGGGCAAGCAAACAGCACAAAACAACAAAGCAGACTGGGTGAAAGGCATGGGTAGACGGATGGGCAAGCAAACAGCGCAAGGCAACACGGGAAACAACAGCAAGACAAACAATAACAAAGCACAAACAACATACGAAAAACAATACAAGTATAAATAAGGCAAAGACTGGAAAGCACGAGGGATATAGGATTGCAGACAACAACAAGTACACAGGGCAGGCGGAAAAAAATACAAGTCCATAAGTTTCAAAGACCGAAAAAAAATAATAATAATAAATAAGACTCATGATGAAAGATGAAACGGTATTCACCAGTTCGCAGTAGCAAATGCAGATCCCAGGGCTCGATCCCTAGTTCCCCATCTTACCTGTGAACAGTATTGATGACAACCCATAGATTTGAACCTGCGACCTGTCGAAACGCCAGTGGTAGGTAGATTGTCGTAGGTCACAGCTTAGAAGGGAATCGAACTGTAGACCTGTACGGTAGGAGTCTAGACAGTTCCGAAGTCTTAGCTGTAGGATGTCTGAAGGGTCAAGGTCGTAGCTGCTACTTACCTGAAAGGGCAAAGTCATAGCTGCTACAGTACCGAAAGGCCAAAGTAGAAGTTTCTAGAACTGGCCTTTCGGAGTCAGCCCCTGTTTAGGCCGAGGCAAGTGGGCAAGTGGTGTAGGTCCACTACGTAGAGTCAGCAGTCCCAGGTAGCCCAGTCCGGTCCAGTCAAGCAAGTACCGTCTGGGACTGTGCACATCGTGGGCCAAGGGATACAGGGCAGACCAACGCCGCACAGAGGTATAAATCAAGAGGCTGCGTCCAGCCATTCATTCATTCCTGCGGATGCCATGCGGAAGCGTTGCCTCAGCAGCTTGTGCGAGGAGGTCTGCAGTGCGCCCAAAGACGAAGAGGGCAGTGAAGTGTAGTGTAGCGATAGGATAGTGGCAGCCATAGCTGCCATAGCTATAGTAGCGTGTGTGTGTGTGTGTGTTGCGTGTGGGACATCCAGGGTGATCCAGAGTGCGAACAGTGAGTTGTGTGGGCGCTCAGTCGCCATAGCCAGTTTGAAGGGAACTCCTACCTGGTTACAATATCTTTGAGTACTCTGTGGGCGCATGTCGCCAGTTTGCTGTTTCGCTGTTTGCATGCATGACAAGTGTGAAGAAGTCGAGTCTGATTGCACTGGTATCGGAGAAGGTACCCGCTGTTCCACGCGCGCGAGGTGTGCAGGGCAGATGTGCCATAGCTGAAGTGCCGCCGGAGGAGGCAGTCCGCCATAGCAGACCTCGAGGTGGAAGAAGACGCCGCGCACCTGCAACAAGAAGACTAAGAGAGAGAGAGAGAGAGAGAGATGAGCGATCCAAGATTGGTTGTCACTTACCTGTAAGGCGAGATTGCGGAGTCCGGTGGAGAAGGAAGATAGCGGCCATAGCCGCGGAGCTGTAACACAGAGTACCGGAGGAGAGAGAAAGGGAGGACAGAGGAGGGACTGAGGAGAGAGAAGAAGAAGTGTGGAAGGAGGAGATCGAAGAGGAAGACGGACATAGCCGGGGGTGTGTATAAAAAAAAAAATAAAAAAAATAGAGAAGGAGAAAGAAAGTGAGGAAGGGGAAGTAGACGGCGAGGGTGACGAGGGTGATGGTGCCGGCAGCCATAGCCGAGGTGAAGGGTTGACCGGGCGTTGACCGGAGCGTTGACCAGAGGGTTGCCCAAGGGTTGACCAGGCGTTGACTGAGGGTGTTGACCAAGTGTTGACTGGGGGTTACCCGTGTTGACTCGGCGTTGACCAAGGCGTTGACCGGGGCTGCTGACCAAGATTTTGACCAAGCTGGAGTTGGTGATATCTCGTTGACCCCTCAGCCTATCCCCTAACCCTGTGGATGTGCACTTACCCCACGGTACTTGCTGAGTTGTCTGTCTACTCTTTCTGCATTGAGTCTCTTCTGCCTTAGGTGCTAGGACTCTGTGGATGAAGGATAGGGCCTTGCTGCCAAACCTACACGGGCTTAGTAGGACCAAAGCTCTACACTGGAACTTGGAGACCTGGGCATGAGCGGCGAGCGCTCGTTAAACAACTCGTCTAGCCCAATGAACGGTACTGTCCGACAGGTCTACTGAGTTCAGTGTGGAGGGTCTGAACTCCAAGCTGTAGGCTGAAACGAAGGCCGTCTTTAAGTGTTGAGGCCTGGTTGAGCCACTCCCCTACCGGACCCAGAAGGCTGATGATCCGTGTCTGACGACTCGACTGTCTCGAGGGATACGAACCCCTCCAAGGACCGGTACTGACCGGCGGGCTGCTCGGTGTGGCACAGGAGGCTGGACGGGCTGAGTTGTGGGCTGAAATCGCCAGAGGAACCAAGCTGATCGCGTCGTCCTGTCTGCGACATTAAAAAATTCTTGCGGAGTTTGGGGGATCTCCTTAAATGCCTCCTGATCAGCTCTTGGTTCTGTAGTGACAGCCTTAGAGTAGTCTTGGGTTAGTAGTGGCCATATTTGACAGGGTCTTATCCTGTGGTCCTTAGGAAGTCAGTCAGTAGGTTGGTGTGTCCGGGTAGGGCTACGTGGTGAGGAGTGGGACCCTTGTCGTGCACCAACACCACGATGGATGACTACCCGATGTATGGGTTGCTGGTTGGGTTCTCCCTCTGGGGGACCCTCTGGCGTCTCCTCTTTCCACTGGGATTTTGGCATACCTTTGCGTGTAGAGTAGGGCCCACTCGAGGTGGTACCGCCACCCAACCATACACGAAGGAGGAGGAGGAGAAGATGGCCGCCATCCTGCAGGAGAGGAAGGAGAAGAAGGAGGCCAAGAAGAAGGCCTTGAAAGAGGAACAGGCGACCAAACTAAAGAAGATGGAAGAAGAGATGGCCAGGGAGAAAGAGAGGTTGAAAAAGGAAGAAGAAGAGAAGCTGAAGGAGGTGG